AAGGTGGTTTCTTCATTGAACCTGGGAAAGAGAACCACAATCAATGGCTGTGCTTTCAACTCTGTCATTATGAGAATGCCTCCCTGCAGCAGACCATGCTGATATTGGGTGACCATGTCAGAGTGAATAATAAATCTGGCTGACATTATAGGCAATTGTTCTAGTTTACAGCTTTAATAAAATTGCAGTGAAATGTCATTAAGTTTGATGTGTTTATTTATATACGTATTATCTATCTATCTGTTTACTTATTACAATTGAGGGCTTCAATTGCTGACAATCAGTTCCTTGTCTGACTTTGATTTATGAACTATGGAAGTAGGAGAAAAAGGGTCAGCTTTAATTTCATGTAGACTGTTTAAAATCTAACAAATGTCCCTTTCTCAAAAGTAGGAATGTAAGTTTCTCTTTTCTGAAAACTATGTGTCTTGAAGATGTAAACCCTTTGCGTCCTTTGGGGTCCTTTGATATTCCACTGAAAATTGGTGCTGCTCTTGGGAATAGTGCTGTGTGTTTCTCTCTTCCCATATGAATTCTGCAGTTTAATTTCACCTTCCTGTAGCAATCCCTGCTACAGTTGTGATTACTCTATTTGCTCTTGGTGCTGTAGTAAAAATGATAAGGGAGATCATAATGGATTGGCTGCCACAACAGATAAGCAGCTGTCCTCCAGGGTCTGGGAAAAGCCTGTGCCATGTGCTATAAGGTACAGATATGGAAACATCCCTAAATGCTATGGATTGTTTGATGTATTAGTTCAGAGTAGGTAACTGCAATGATCCTTAGCTGTACCGTGTTTTCTTCATAGACAAATGTCAAGACAAACCTAGGGAAAATAGAAGAACATTACTTTGACTTACTAGTGTGTAAAAAATCTTTCCTCATTTTGAATATCTGTTGTTAAAAAATCAGAATTTAATTCAAGTGTCAGATTAAATAGGTCATGCAGTGGTGAGCTGAATGATATTGTATCCATCATGAGCTCATTATGGCTTGTCAGGATCAATGTGTTGAGCCAGCATACAAAAAGTTATTGAATTAATTGTCCTGCTAACTGTTGAGCCGTTAACATTATTCAGAACAATGATCTTATTCAAGTGAATCCAGACCTCAAGTCTGAGTAGCTTTTGATTAATTTAGATAATTATCAATCTAGACACAATGTTCAAGAAAGGAAAGGTTTTTAAAAACATATGTTTTCTATAAAGGGAGTCCAGCAAACTGGCACAATGTAGTTTTGATGCATTTATATGTGAAGTTGTGTTTTAAACAGTTGCTTTCAAAAATTAATGTTCTTTTGTTTTGAAACTAGAACAAAGTTTTACAACTCACTTATAAATCAGTGGAGAAACTAGACATGACTATCATGGCTGCAGTCCTCACTGCAGTGTGAAAGGCAGTACACCCACTGCATATCAAAATGTCTATTAAGAGTGAAAAACTAGAGCCACTTTAGGAGCACATTTGATACACAAGGAAGCAACAAAAAATGTGTCTTCAAAATAATTTAAAATGTTTTGCCTTGTATCATACATGATGACTGTGTTCCTTCCTGTACAGGAGCTGTGTGTCTCTGCATCCATGGGAAAAAATAAATTCCATTTATGTGCAAAATAAACCCTTTCAGGTCCAGAGTGACAGACCACATATAAATGAAGTGACAAATGTGGCCTGACATTCACAGAGCAAGAATGGTCTGATAGCATAACAGGTATAACAGATATGCATAAGAGGTTTCCATAAAAGGGGGTCCAACTCTGTAGCCCAGGGGACCTGACCTCTGGGGCATAACCAGAAGATGCTGAACAGCTGTGGCCAACCTTCAGCCCAGTGCGAGGAACAGGAGGCCTTGCTGCTTTGAAACACAGAGGGTGGAGATGGAATTGTATGGCCACCAGCACTTTGTGAGACAGGTTACTGGTTAAAGCCCTCTGGGAATTGTCAGCACAGGCTGCAGCATTTCCTCCAAATACAGGAACTGAAGCATGATTTCTTACAGAATTGTTCAGTCCCAGAAGAGTCTGTGTCCATTGATCAGGTAAAGAGCCTAAAACCTAATTTCCTGTCAGAGATAGGTGTCAATTTTCCGGGTGTTCTGATGTCACTGCTACGAATCTTCAAGGAATCTGAAATCCTTGATCATCTGCAGATGCAAATGGTGATTTTTCTTCAAATATTGTTGGTTGACACACCTTACATCATGGTGTTTTAGAGGAAAGAGAAGACTTCAGTAACCTGAGAGCACATTGTAAGATATAAATTTGCCTCGTCCTTACTCTTTGTAGCATAACCTACAGTGTGAAGTGCTCTATTTTATATGTAAAGGAAAGCTGACATTTTAAACTGAGTAGGTTTGTTGAAGTAAACTTCTTTCTGCTTCACTTGTGCCATTGATTCCAGCATTTTTAAGAGGGCCTTGGGGATACTCCCTCTAATTACTGAAGTAAACCTCCATTAACCTTACATGTTCAAAATCCTAGTAAGAAACTAGCTTTGAGGCATCATAAAGGATATGCATCATGTATGACGGAAGAAGAAAGTTTCACAAACACCTTTCAGTAATCAGTCTTTGTTTTCTGTGCATGTGAGCATACCATATACATGACATACATGACAAGTTTTTTAATGTGTATGCAGCAGCTTAATCTTTAGAGCACTCAAAGTTCTTGAAGGCACTGGCTAGTGGGTAAGTTAGCCAAGTGATCTTTGCAAACAAATTATATTCAGTATTGGATCAACTTGAGTAGGGGTTGGCTGAAAAATTGGATGGCTCAATTCTGCCAGTCCTTTTTTCTCTGTCCAACCCTCTAATCTTCCTACATGCTTCAGTTTTTCAGTGTGGTCTGCATGGACTGTTCCATGTACTGCAAAAAGCTCTTTGAAGGATCATGGTTTTGTGAAATTTCATGCAGAGGTTTTCTTTTGGAGAATATTGCTATCAGTGGAACACTGGACTGTTCTTCATTTGCTACTTGTAGTGAACACCAAAGTGACACTTTATTCATCCCAAATTCCATAAACAGAAAATTATCTCGATCTAATAAAAACAGTAATGTATGCTACGTTGAATTTGCCAGGCATAATGCAGCACACAGCCGCATAATGTGGCTATTTAATTAATAGAATATATGCCTTTCTACATGCTGCTGTATAATTAACAGTTCCCGCTGAGAAATGTACTGTAGGTACAATTGAAATGGATGAGACTAATGAACAAGGATATTTGCATTTCATTACTATGTTGTATAATTTCACTCATAAAATTTTATGGAATTAATTTAGCATTATTTTCTGCATATGATTATAACAATAACTTTTGAACTAATACAAGAAAAGTTGATTCAAAACACAATCAAAAAGCACTCAAGTTCTTCAAATCACAAAAGCTTCAGATTTCATGTGAAACCCAGCTTTTTGTCTCTAAATTGTTTTAGGGGGCTTTGATGATCAAGTACAGCTCTAACATACTGTTAGCTGACGTGAAAAGCATGATTCTTGTCCACTTTATTCTCTCATCTCTCTAATCTCTAATGATTTTCTAGAAGAAAAGAAAGGGAATTTAATTCTCAAAGCAACCATATAATTTGATGGAAAAGCTCCCTGGAAAATTAATTATTTCTTGTGTAGAAAATGATCCAGGCATGCATTGGACGTAAATGCAATTTTCAGTTCTGTTGTTTGCAATTATGGATGTGATATGCTGAGCTACAGGACATAAATTCTTGTTTCAGAAGCAGCCTTTAGAGACAAGATCACAAATGAGAAGGAAGAGGTTATGAAGACAATCAGCTCTGTCCAGGTAAGTCAAATGTCTTTTTGCAAACAGGTTCACATACTTTGTAGCAGACCAAAAAAAGGCACTATGACTGAAAATGACTCCCCAGATTTTAATCTCCCTCTCTGGTGTGAGAGTGTAAAAAGTTTCATTTTGTCTTTTGGTAAAATGACACTTATCTTGACATGAGGTTCCCCCTAATGAAATTGATCCTTCACTAGCAGCTGCCCCAAAGCGTCACCAGGAGACAAAGCCATAGTAGACAGTAAAGACCCTCAGGGCTTCTCCCTGCATGGAGCCTCCTCCAGATGTGCACCCTCTGCGCAGCTGGATGCCTGCACCTCTGCTCTCGTGACCGTGGGCGAAGGGAGCAGTGAGCCTCAGTGACACCTGCTCACCTGTGGCACCCCTTCAGAGGACATGCTGACTGTGCTGCAGCTTTACCTAATGGCCTTGAGCAAGTAGACTTGTGGGTCCTCCCACCCAGTAACATCTTGCCAGAGCCAACTGAATGACAGCATGGATGTCTGGGTGATGTCAAAAAACAACAACAGAGCCATAAATTTTTAGTGGAAGAAGAGGTCTGCTTCCTAACTTCACCTGTCAGCATATTTTCTATTGGGAACAAGGGAAAAGATGGGGCTTAGTCATTCCAGCATTTCCCATTACTCCTGAAGGCAATTTCTCCATCTTGCTGGAAAAGATCCCTTTGCAGCTGGTACAGCCCTGTGGATGCTGTTGTGTATTTAGGAATTGTCTGCACTGCAGAGGTTACATGAATAAATGTACTTTTTTGTCTAGTGGGTATATGTGTGTTGCAACAAAATCCTGCCTTCCCTGCAAGACAAAATGCCTGATTAAAGTGTATCAATGCCTATACAGTGGTTGATCTGTCTGTGGGAAATTGCCTACACAAAATTGCCCACCCATCACAGGCACAGGTACCTTAGGACCAATTTTTGTTCTAACTTAATTTAGACTAACTTGTGTGTATTTAATGTGAACATACATAGCTCAGACTGATTCTTGAGTGATGATACAGCAGTAGAAGAGTTCCCATGCGAAGTGAAATCTCTTTTTATGAGTAAGTGAAGGCAGATTTTTGCAGTGTTTAAGGCCAAAAAAGGACATTGCTTTTTTTGGGGGTTTAATTTCAATGCACTTATTCTTAAATCAAACTCCACATCCTCTGAAAGAACTAGAGTACAGATGTATTTCATACATGTAAAGTTTCAGCTCAACTAAGGAAAAGAAGCCAGAGAGGCTTTTAGGCTCATGGCTTTTCTGGGGGCTTAGCAGATGTAGAAAATGGAAAAAGATAGCAGAGCAGTGCACTTCTTTGATGTGCTGAAGGTTTGTAAAATTTTCTGTCTGCATTCACCTGTCGGGAAGATAGAACTGACATGAGCTCCCGTTTTAATGTGAATTTTGATTGACAAGGTTGTTTGTTGTACTTAACTCAGGTGTCATATCTGTGTATAACAAGGCTTTTGACTGATTATTATGCTGGTAACATTATGCTGCATCTCAGAGAAGAGCTTAGAAGACTGCAAAGATCTGAGGATTATTCAGGGCATACAAAATCTTGTGTTTCAAAAGAGTTTCCCTTTTAAAAAAGAAAGAGGAAATTTGACAAGCTAGCTTGATTATGTTTTAGCCCTTGGTCTGATTTTTGTATTGAAAGATAGTAGTGCAGAAACAGTGTGTGAAAGACCTAAATCTAAAGCAAGTTTTGCAAGTAATATCTGAGAATTTATTGTTACTGTGGCCATGGTAGAGTAGAATGGTTTTATACAAGAGTAGATGTTCTCTCCCTCAGCAGCCTTAGCCACTTAATATTTTCATAACATAACCTATTATTATCCTTCCTAAATGTCAGAAATTGTAAGGAAATACACAACACGTGTCCCCTTTTCTCAGCTATAACATGGCCACTACCATGAAACCCCACCACCTGCTCCAGGATACGTGCCTGGTGAGGGAGATCAGTCCAGGCCTCACAACTTTTTATCCTAAGAGAGTTTTTTCCTGAAAAACCAGAAGTCAGCCAACACTGTCCTGAGCTTTCTGGAAACATTTTTCAGGTTTCCCCTCCCATGAGAAGCTAATTGTGATTATCTCTTATATTGCTGGCTTTTACATTGTTTTTCCAGAATGTGCTCATTTCCTCTGTGTAATTTCAATGAAGAATTTGCTGAAAGTATTTTCAACTGTTTTTCAGGTTTTTCTCTCTTTTTCGGCAAATTAATAGCTCTGCGGAAAACCCCCCAAAACAGTTAAATTAAGGAGAGATTTAATTTTTTGGATTCAGTTTTTTATTTCCTGTTGGTGTGTTTATTTGGTTTTGCTTTATAACTACTACCTCTTAACTAAATTGAGCTATCTGCATTCTGGCTTACTAACTTGGAATGACAGAGAATAAAGGGATATGCACATCTTGAGATCAAAAAAGGTCTAATCTACTAAGGCTGTATATCACCTTTCTTGATTTGTCTACTTTAATTATTAAAATTAATATGAAAATATTATTATTATTAAAATCAAGTTCTTGATTTCTATTTTTTGTAAATTACAGTGGGAAGAAGCTGCTGTAGTAACCTCTAGCCTTCATTAAGGTGTGCAAAATGTGCAGGAAACGTAACTGAACTATTTAGATGATTCTTCCAGTGAATTCATCCAGAAATAATAAAGACCGATGGCTATAGTACTCAGCTTGTATGAGGGAACATGGATTTCTTTACTGATTTTGCCACAGAAAAATGGTGTAGTCTTTTAAAAATGAGGTCTCTGATTCAGTTTCATCCTCCGGAAGACAGACATTTTGCTACCTTTTTCTCTGAAAACAGAAAATCAGAATGTGCTGACAGACAGAGACAGTATTTCTCAGCTGTTAATGATAATCTGAGACACACCAGATAAAAGAGATGTTAGAACTTGACACCTTTCTTTTATTATTATGGCATTCTCTGCAGGACAAATACATTTGTCAAAAAGCCTCTACAAACTTGGAGAAACCAAGTTCCAACCTGGACTTCAATTTTAACATCTGTAGTTAGAAATATTTCTAAATTGTAACAAAACCACATTTTCATTCCCACATAAAGATAATAGCTGTGATCTTTTTTTTCTGTTTGAAGCTGAACACCACTTCTAGTGAGAAGAGAAAATCCAAGCAACTCTGACCTACATCAGTTCCCTGAACATTTCAGAATGCCCTCCCTCCTCTTTGGTATCCTCAGAAAACAGGATATTCTGAAAGGCTGTCTTGCAGATTTGGGGAGAAACCATCTCATCTCCATAATACGCATTTTAAAAATTACTGTTTCAGTATGCCCAATATATTTGTAACTTTAACAGCTATGTTTTCTGAAGACAGCATCCTCACTGGAAGCTCTCAAACCTTTGCCAGCTCTCAATGATCCAGCTCGTATGTGTTGACATGAGATGATACAGCCAGAGGCTTCAGGAGCCAGACGACATGGGGAGACGTTTTTGCAAGTGGAGTTGACAGATTTCAGGAACTCTCTAAACACAGGCAAAGATACAGTTTTAGAGAGGAAACATTGTTTATTCTGTGCAGGGTCCGTGGTGGAAGTTTTCAACAAGTTAAGCACACTAGGGCGTAAAAAGCAAAAGAATGTATACGTTGAAATCTGCATAAAGTCACCTACCAGATTCAGAGCTGCCATCCACCGAAGACGCAGTCATTTATCTTGCACACTCTTATGCAGTACTTGTTTCTGTGCCTGCATGGGCCTCTCTGGGGTCTCTGGTGGTCATCTGGGGATGTGTCCCCTACTCAGTTCCAAGCAAAGTGCAGCTCAGGCTGTGCAGAACACGAGATTGCGTGCCAAACGTGATGTGATCTGTAGCTCTGGAGCCTAAACAATCGCCAAGCAGGACTAAAAATATAAAAGCTTTCCATAAACATTAAGCAACACCTGCTAGCACCCAATAGCATCTATTTGCATTCAAAAGAGGGGTTAGAGGTTAGAATGATACCATCAGCTTCCAGCTACAAGAGAGATCAGAGAAAGTGTTGTGATTTAGAAATGGTGCTCCCTAATTTAGTTCTCCCAACGAGATTCTCCCAAACCTGATGCTACTTGCTCCCTTCCCCTCCCCCTTCCTGCTCCAGGGATGGAGTTGAGAATTGGAGGCATATAAAGGTGAAAATCCCGAGCTGAGATAAGCACAGTTTACTGGAAACAGCAATGAAACAAGAAAATGAGCAGTAGCAGCAACAATACTAACGACAAAAGGTGTAAGAGAAATAAACTATTTACATAGAAAGCAAAGCACCAGACTGTTTGTCCCCACTCTCCACGAGAAATGAGAGAGTTCCTGACCCTGGTGAGTGATATGGATGGTAATGAAAACCATCAGGGTCCTGCCAGGTTCCCCTCATGATCTGTAAAAAATTAACCCTGTCCTGGCCAAAACTAGAACAGGAAGGAACAGAGAACTGTGCTTAAGTGGGATGGAGCTGAGCAATGGGCTGTCCCTACTGCCTTTTCATTGCTGTCCAAATTGACAAAGGAAGCAAAGGGAATGAGAGAAATGAGATTTTTCAGGCATAGGAAAAAGAGATTTGAGATATGACAACCATGAGTCTAGTTAGGATTGGGGAATAAGGAGGATTATGAGTGAGAGGAGGTAGTAGGATATATTTAGAACCAGGTAGCTACAGGTATAATTAATTGGATGAGGCAGGAGAGACATCACAAGGCACTGTAAGCATACGGTGTCTTTCACTGTTGAAAGGCAATGATGACATTTCAACAACATGTTATAGGATAATTATTTAGTTTGTGAGCTAAATTATTTATGTAGAGTAGATAAGTGGCAAAACACATGGCTGTATTTCCTGAGGAATGCTTGTTCTTGTTTTAATGCTTTTCCTTATTTTTAATTACATCTCTTTTCTGAATTTTCATGGCAGTTATAAATTTATCTTCTTCCTTTACATCTAATTTACTCTTAGTACAAAGTTCTTTGAAGAAGTTGCCTAATCGAAGCCTTAC